CACCACCACCACCACCACGGTGACCATCATTATCAGCAGCACCACCACCATCATCACCGCCACCCCCATCGATGTCCTCTGTTGCAACATCCTCTCAGTCAGCTGCCTCATCTTCTTCTTCCTCTTCCCCTACTTCTTCCTCTACTTCCTCATCATCGACCTCCTCATCATCAACGCACTCATGGTCAGATCGGTCATCACAAAGGCCCTGTCGGCTGAGGTATCCGTTGTTAGATCGATCGTTACAGATGCCTCTTCGGCGGAGACGTTCCCCGTCTCCACAACAGCCTCCAAGACAGCGGCCTCGCTTGTCATTGAATGGCATGATCACCGCGCCCCCTGCAGGGGTTAGAGATCTGCTCCGACGACATGCTCGCAACCGTACGAAACGACATCGTCGCTTTCAGTATACACTTTCGAGGAATAGTGCACATCGAGTCCAATGCCCGCAATGTGGCGATGATTTCTTCAGTGTTGCAGGCTTACGAGTGCACCAGACACGAGGTGCAGCTACTTGTGCAGTGTTTGCACAACTAGCAGCCGCCCTAAGCACAAGTGAGGCTGATCAGCTTCCGATTCCCACATCTGGTCCACCCAGTTCTCACCCACCTGACCCGCCCCTCTCTCATCCACCTAGCCCCACTCGCTCCCCTGCCCCAAATGACAAGGGCCCGTCTCCTGATTACCTGACGGAGCTCCCGGTTGAAGATCCTCTCTCTTCGGAGCACATACAGGAGCCAATTGGTCAAGACCACAACGAGTCTCCGCCACCTGGGCAACCTGCAGAATTGAACGAGGATCTCCCTCCCATAAACAGATCCCCCACGCAACCTGCGGAATCAGACAATGTCATAGCGCTAGAGCGAGGGCGCTGTGCATACTATGCCATTAATGTATGTCTCCTTGCTTACAATTGTAATCCTTATACTGTTGCTGATTTCGCAGACGTTGTTCGCTGGATAGAAGAAGAGCACCGTGCCGTCTGCCCAGACGAGGACAGCGCTGCGCCTGGGGTGAACATAGAAGTCCTGGCTATGGCGTTTATGGGTAGGCGACTGCAATTCCAGCCTGCTCCGCAAAACCACGAGCCAGGCACGAATCCGAATAGTCGGGCATATATCTTATATCGTCCAGGTCACTTCAGTGCTCTTACCTTTGCGGATAATTCATGGACCCTATGGGACAATGGCGGTAGGGTGCACACAGTGGGAAATATTAACTCTTTCTATCACCAAATGCTGGAGGGTCACTCAGTCTGGCTCATCCATTAGGAACAGTATGTTGATGAGCATTTGCAAGCACTGCACCCCCCGGAGAGCAATCCTGCTGATTCTACCGCGAACAGTGAAAGGACCTCTCCATAGAATGATGGCTGTGCCCTCCCGTTGTGTCGTCGCACAGGTACAGCTCGGTTGGCATGTACACGACATAGCCTTTGCTCCGAACACTATGAAGGGATGGTCGCTGCTAGCCTCTCACACGAAAATTGTGATCCCCAGTCCTGTGCTCATCCCCCCCCCCCTTTGATTACTTGCCCAGCATGCCGTTGTGGCCTTGATCTGGCATGCTTAAATAACTGTGCACGTCAGCCTTCCATACTAATGACATGTGAGCAACATGCCATATGTCGTCAATGCTTCCAGCAAGCTGTCAAGGAACGTATGTGTCTTTACTGCGTGGACTATCTCCGGTGCCATCACCCTCCACATCCTCTCCTAGCATGTCCCGCATGCGGTATTGGTCATACACCTACGGCAACCGCTGACGGATCTCCCTCTTTCATGCCAGACGAACAACGAACACAGCAGTCCGAGGAAAAATAGACTTCTATATGAACCACCGGCAGAGCGATGTGCTCATAGTTTATCACCACCAGGGCGAGCTGTTGTGGATCATATCCTGCAGCAGCTGAATGCCCTTGCGTTGGACCGATCCTCCCTGTCATCGTCTGCCCATAGAGGAGTACATACTGAGGAAGCCCAAGAAAGATGCTCCATGCCGTTTTGTGATGACCCCCCGGAGATTCAACTAGCATGTGGTTCACATGCCTTGTCCCGTGAGGATTATGAAGGTATAGTCCATGCGAGTTTTTGCTTCCATACGTACGATGACAGTCAGTACTGTACTCATGTATGGCACCCCGACATGTCATGTCCAATTTGTAGACAGGGGCTGGAACGGCAATGCCTCTATAATTGCGGTCGACGTGCCTCTGTGTTTCTAGCATGTACGAGCCACGTAGCCTGTGACATCTGTCTAAGCCGTGCCATTCGATGCAGCAACCGTGACTGCGAAAATTGGATGTGGTGCTTCCATAGCCCACACCCGAACCAGTCCTGTCCGGTCTGTAGGGGTGGCCACTCGCCATAGTTTTTTTTTNAGAGAGAGAGAGAGAGAGAGAGAGAGAGAGAGAGAGAGAGAGAGAGAGAGAGAGAGAGAGAGAGAGAGAGAGAGAGAGAAAGAGAGCAATTGAGTTACATTGTGGTGCGGCGACCATGGCCGCTAGTGCACATAAGCAGTGCCTGTGCTCATAATTCTTTGGTTTGTACAAATAAGCTCAGCAAGAAGAGACTTTGTCACCGTGCAGCGAAATGGCTTGCGTATGTCCCAGAGGAGGTTCACAGAAAAGCTCTCCAAGTAGAGAGTTTGTTCCCACACAGCAAAATGGCTCGCACATTACTGCATTCTCGATTAATAAGACAAATTCCTCATTAGTTAATGATTAGTATTCAAAATATATATATATTAATTTTAATTTTCTAATATACTTAGCGAAAGGGAAAATATGTTAGTGATTCAGCACTAATTAGTTCGTGATGAGTGCGAGTTACCTAGCTCGTTAGCAATCAGTTAGTGATTTGTCATCAGAATGAACATGCACAGAACTCTCTCACCACCACGACCGCGCAATCTATGTATGATTTACAGGCGGTGCCAGAACCTGCTAGACCGGGACCCCAAGTTCATCGAATCATTGTCTCTCTCTTTTTGCTCTTCTGGGCCGCTTTACTATGACTACTTTATCATTTTTTGTCTCTGAGACTCTACGACTTCCGCACTCGAACTGATTGCCTACCTATGTCCCTACCTACATCTCACTTTTCGCCACCGGCCCACCATCACAGTCGTCTGAAGTCGGACTCGTACTCCAGAAGAAATTGACAGAGAAGCTCACAGAAAGAGATTTCACGTAGTGCCACCACAGAGGTGGCATGTATAGCATCTCCCCTTCCTCCAGCACGCACTCGACGAACGGCGCCTCCTTGAACCGAGGAAAGGCGTCATCGTCAACCAGATCGAGGTCCACCCGGCTCGTGTTCCGGACCAGGGTGTCGGCACCATGCGGGTACATGTTCTCGCGATACCGAGGGTCGTAGAGTCGCAGGTACTTGCGGCCAACGATCTGTGCCAAGAAGTTTTGGTACGGGTCTACGTGCAACGGAGTGACCGTCCCAGCGGGCCCAAACCATGCGTTGACGATATCCATCTCTCCCCCTCCCAAGACGCAGTACTCCGGCTCCATGATGTCCATCTTCAGCTGAGGTATATGCTCAAACAATGGATGTTGTGCAAGATAAGCCCTTCGTTCTTCCTTCTTTTCCTTGGCCCCTCCCTCCTCTCCCTCAACCCCGATATCTTCCCCTTCCTCCCCCGATTCATTAACATCTATAAACTCGTCAATGAAATCGGACAAGGTCATGAACCTTTGGTGCCATCCATCTGCTAAATAGTTTTTGCCCACCTCGATCGGTACAGTTCTAGCGCCCGCAACACTTCGCAGGTACTCGCAGTCCTTCCATCGGACACAGGCTGGCCAGTTGTGCATCGCTCCTGTGATAATCACAGGCACCTCCGGTAGCATGTGATCGAGCAGAAACTCTTCAAGAGTGGGGAGCTCTTTCCTTGCGATAAGTGTCGGCGACGATTGCGTAGGATGATTTACAAACGATCCCGGCGGAAGGGGAATCTCCTTTACCCTTCGTCTTTGCCGCCGTAACGATTTACGTTTCTGGCGACGAGGACAAAGCAATGACGCTGTGTCGTCCACCCAAATTCTCTTCCCACGCGCGCCACTATTCTCCTCATTGAAATGGTCAGAAGTCCTACGATCTGACGACGCCAAGGAACAGCCATCTCGTTCGGTGTCCATGCACTCCTCGCGGTTTTGTGCACACAGCAATTCCCTTTCTCGCTCATCACAAGACGTTAGCGTACTTTCTGCACGATCCTCGGTTGAGGTTGACGTCATCGTCGTCATACTTGTCGCTGAGCTAACTTGAAGATGCCGCACGATGCCGACACCCTGGTCAGGATCCATAGACAAGTTTTGCAGATTTCTCATTACTTGTATGGATGACCGCACGTCATCGTCAACCCCTCTCTCTTTTGCAGTTTGGAGGTCCATACCGTTGATTGAATTGGTTTTCATACCCTTAGGGAAAACCCTCTTCCTCCGTTTTGCAATCGCCATCTCCTTCCTCTCATTGTAGAGAGCTTCGTGCAGTTCGCCCCCGAGCTGATCAAGCTCCGGTCGAAATAATAGGCCTCCCACCATGATCGCCATATCAACGGTCCGCAGCGCATCCATCTTCGTTGGTCGATCACCAAGCGCGTCGAATATTCCTTCGAGCAAACTCGCCAAAGCAAACGCGTCTCGCCAAACGTGGGGAACATCCTTCCAAGACCCGGTGTGGAGTCGCTTCCACGCCATATCCTTGGCCCGCGTGGCCAAGGCACGGCATCCGCTGACGTCAGCTGCAGCATGGCATTCGAGAGCACCGTTCAGAAGTCGGGCACAGCCTGTTCCGCCATCACAACAGGAAAGTCGCTTTATCATATCCGTAATCTGCATTGCATCCGGCAAATAAACCGTCGACTTGATTCTACAGCACACATTCTCGCAGCATGCAATATTCGCCTCTCCGTAAGCGACGTTATGCGTCCTCGGTTGTTGCGTGGTCGACACATCCTCAATTGCATCCGGCAAATAAACCGTGGACTTGATTCTACAGCACACATTCTCGCCGCGTGCAATATTCCCCTCTCCACCCGAGACATTATTCGTCCTCGGTTGTTCCGTGGTTGCCACATCCTCCATTGCTGCTTCCGCTTCCGTCTTCATATCGCTCCTCTCCTCTGCCATCAGCGCAAGCGCATGCGAAGCATCAATCTAGGGCTCCTCGAGCAGATTGTGCGCACGGGCTTCAAAACGAACACCAGGCACTCTCTCCAACAGCACGGAACCATACCCCGTCTACGTTCGCTGCGTGCATGAGCAATTCGTTCTAGGCAAAGCAGGGAAACAGGCAGCCGCAGCTGCGCTTCAGCTGTGCAATGACATGAGCGTGAACATGTGTGTGCTCTGCCTTGTGCACAGGTACTGTATCATCTTCTTTCACACTTTTACTCACAAACAGGCTATCGTAAACTAGCATCATTCAGCAACTGGGGCACAGGGTCCACCTAATCGCAAGGGTACCAACGTCCGCATTCGGCACGATGCTGACTCCGCCATCATGCTTGCTGCTTAATGGCACAAGCTCAGTACAGATCCAATCAGGAGGACCTGTGAGAAGGTTTTCGATAAACATTTTTGATAATTTGTAAATTATCAAAATTATTGAAAATAAAAAATAAAAAAGAGATTGCCTGTGAGAAACTCCAGCAACTCCCAGGGAAAAAAAAAAAAAAAAAAAAAAAAAAAAAAAAAAAAAAAAAAAAAAAACTCCACCAACAAAAAAAAGAAAAAAAAAAAAAAAAAAAAAAAGGTTATGGAAGCTGCCTGGGTTCAGTTCATGCAGAAAAAGACTCTTCTGAGATTTACAGTCTAAGAAGTACTATTTGGGAATTTTGGGATTTACAGTCTAAGAAGTTCATGCAGAAAAAAGCTGTGTCAATAAGGAAAAGTACGACATAGACATATTTTCTTAGCGAACAGATTTTTTTCTTCTTTTGAACGAGTCTGAAATCTGTCCATGTTGTACTTCTCCTTATTGAATTTCAAAGATTTCTTTTTTCACCAATATGTCCTTTTCTCCCTCTCTGCCTACTGTTTACCGGGCAGCTATTGACGATACAGTGTAATCAGTTCGGGGATTCTGCAGATTGCTGAGGGTTCAGCCTCCTGATGAGTCAGTCGGTGAAACTCTGACGAAACAGTTTGTCACAGCCCCTCGTTTGCTGTCCTCTTCTCCCTCTCTCGCTACGGTTTACTGGTCATATAATTTTTATGTTTATTTTAATTGACGTTCACACTCGTTTACAGTGCGGCTCCATACTGAGAAGTTTTTTTTTTTTTTTTTTTCATTAAGTGCTTTCATAACGAAATGCTTTTCAATGTTTTTATTAAAAACAAAATTATCTTTGGTGCTGCGAATGAATGGCTCCAGGTGTGTGTCGATTGCAGGACCTTTTTATGCCATGTTCAGACGGAGGACAAGTTCATGTGAAGCTCAAGAGTATTTATGGAAGGATGAACAGGATAGGAACAGGTACTACGAATCTTAATCTCAAATTTTCACGCCGTGGGAGGCCTTAGGATCTAGGGTCTATAGGATTTAGGGTTTAAGGTTTTTAGGGTTTAAGGTTTTTAGGGTTTTTAGGGTTCTTAGGGTTTTTAGGGTTTTTAGGGTTTAAGATTTGTAGGGTTCAAGGTTTTTGAAAGTCACAGCGCTGATAGGTTTAGGGTTTCATTGCGCACGCACTCAGCACTGCGGCCGTAGGTCTGAATTTTGTTTCCACTCTTGTGTGCGTATGTAGTCTCCTTTTTTTTTCTTTTCTTTTTTTAATTTGGACCATTTCTCGATTTATGTGTGTCATCCTTGCGCAGGGGCTGTGCTAATCTTCTCTCTATCGTTCAAATTTTAACGGGTGTTCCGAAGGACAGCGTATGTAGACTCCTTTCCCATAGAGAATCTTTGTAACATCCGATTGATTTACCTAAATAATTTATTTGAATCCCTGCACCCCCAGTTATAGTGCCAGATCTCAGTTCTGCCCCTTTTATGTTAGTAGGGAGAGGGGGGGCGAGGAGGAGAAGGGGGTCCTTAATGATTAAATTTCATTAAATTATTTTAAAATTTAAATACGTTTTTAAAACTTTTTTTTTCTTTTTTTCCGGTCTTCCATCGCAGATCTGTCCATCAGCCACTCTGTAGGATAGTAGTAATATTGAACACTGTAACTTTTCCGCCCCCCCCGTCACTGAGAGGGCTCAATATGATAAGAAGAGTATTTTTTTTCATGTTTTTTTTTGGGGGGGGAAGCCGGGGTAGATAAGAAGAGAAGAGTAATATTGTACAGCGCCAGCTGCCATTGGTGTCCCCTTTTGGGCCTTTTTTTTCATTTTTGAAACAGGTGAAATTGAGAGAAGAATATAGCTTAGTTTAAAGTTTAAACTTTAAACTTTAAATAAATAAATTTAAGAGAGAAAGAAAAAAAGAGTAAAAACTTAAAAGTTACCGCATACAGTGTGTAGTTTTACGCCTCATTAATACTCGTCGCTGTTTTAGAAATAGCTTGCGAGAAGTTGCGACAATACCCCTCGTCATTCTTGATTTTTGAATTTTTTTCCTATTCAATTTGACGGTTTTGCGGCGGATATGGTGCTCAGCCGGGCACCGATTTTATACATAGCCCCCGCTGCCACCTCTGCTACTTTAATAATTTAATTTAGTAAATTCCCCCTTTCCTAAAGAAAAGGCCCGAACACCAGCGAAAGGGAGTTAGTGTCGCACACTATTCTGTACACTTTTCTTTAAAAAATCCATTATTAGTACTACAAATTTAGGGCTCATTTATTTTAGTGCATGTTCATAAAAAAAGACAGATTATATTGTGTACTGTTCAGCCAACAGTTTTTTTTTTTTTTTTTTTTTTTTTTTTTTTTCCCACTTGAGAATCGGGTACCATTCAGCAACCAGGCAGGTGCAGCTGTTGCTGCTACATGCCTGACCGAGGGCACTGTTACCATACCTGCGACTTTTTCGCCTGATTCTGGACGTAATTGGAGATAGATACATACAGGACGTTGGGTGCAAATTGTGGTTCCATATAGTGAGAGAAGTCCTCTGTGAGTACGCTTTTTAACTGTGCGTCCGATTTTTGACTGACAGTGTGCGGCTAGCTTCCTGTCTCACTAACTGTGTGACGAACGACTGATTAAAAAAAAAAAAAAAAAAAAAAAAAAAAAACGAGCGAGGCTGCCTGTGTGTACAGTCAACAGAGTAGTGCCATCAACTTCGCACACCCTGTGCGTTGCGGCAGTAAAGAGAGAATAGGGCTGCAGGAAATAACGAGTACATAACAGATACTCTCTACCGTCAGTCTAGAAGTATGGTTAACCCGTTCGCTCAGGACCAGTCCGAGACGCAGCCTGTGCTCACAGGCGGAGTTCATAATCGTTCATTTTTGGCAGAGGAGCGGGTTTCACAAGCGATGAACGATCCATCGGCTGGCTATCCACACGGGGCCCACAGGATCCGTCAGGAACATCTGGACACCCCTGGACCTCCTGGGACCGACGGAACTACGTGCAGAAGCTCCGCTGTAAGCCTTACGCTTCCAAGAATTTTCACTACGTCCAGTACTGAAGTGCCCCAGAGTACAACGACCGTCCCAGGTCCTGCCATCAAGCCGGCTGGTGGTGGCGAAGTGCCGAGGATAACGATCCCAGCTCGTCCCGTGTCTTTTGCTGAAGTGCACGTCGAGAATACGGTCCCAGTTAGTCCCACGAACTCGATGGCGGAGTACCAGAACTTGAGTCCCAGTCGGGAGGGCTCCACTTGCCAGAGAATTGCCGCTGCAGCTCTGCCCAGTCCAGCCCATCAGACGCTAAGTAATGAGGTGGTGGCGCACGAGAAAGAGAGCAGAGTCTCACCGCTTAGTAGTCAAGGCGAGAGGAGAATGCCAACCCAGAACATTAACGTCACCACTCTGGGCCTTGCCAATCGAGAGCTGCTCAGTAATGTGCCGTCGGCGGTGACGTCCGAGAGCATATTACTGTCATCTCTGGCCATCAACTCAAACTTCAATTCTAACCTGTTCAGTCCCTCTGCGGGACAACATGGCAGCGGCGTGGAGAGGACGAGTATGGTGGCTATGGTGCCGTCCCCTCAAGGTGACCGGTTTCGTGGGAGTGGTGGTGGCGGTGGCGGTGGTGGCAGTGGTGGTGGTGGTAGTTGTGCTGTTGTCATCCCCAGGAGTGCACTGGGTCGATCGGTCAACCTTGGCGATCTATACAATATCGGCACGGACAAGTTCTGCCATGAGACGGGAGGGTGCATCCGTCTCTTCACGACGGACAGCATGGGCCAATCGTCCAGGGCGTGTCCATCCATCCATGTGCAACACGTGTTCGACGACTCCTTAAGGACGCGCTTTGAAGCCCAGCGCGTCAACCCTGCACACAAGCTCAGCATTCTTGGTGGGTTGTCGTGTGCTCAGGGATCTGCGGGCCACTTTCTAGAGATGAGAGACGCGGTAGGGGCGGCGGAGAAGGACACAATCAAGGCTACACTCTTCTGCCACGTCATCGCGAGCGAACAACACTTGCAGCTGTCCTCCTTCTCTTCCCCTTCGTCATCCCAGTACCTGTCCCGCGAGGTCGAGTCCATCCTTGCCAGGAGCTCGAACTGGGCCACTCGTGCAACGCACTTTGTCAGCGGTATTGTGCGTGGAGCGACCGTGGTAGCATCCATCAAGGGCCGGGCACAAGGCGGCCGCTGTGGGAGAAGTGATCTTCAAGTTAGCCTCGGCAAACGGCTGGCGGCAATCCAGACAGCTCTGAGCAATGCGGCATCAAGCAGTTCCTCGCCAACCAGCAGCCAAGGCTGGTCTCTGGGAGCGGGAGGGGGAGGAGGTCACTCATGTCATCTAGGCGTACTAAGTGGTGTCGGGGGGGGAGGCCAGAGTGTTGCTAGTCCTCTCAGTGGTGGTCCAGCAGAGCAGAACAAGGGGTGGGGGAAGGAGGACGTCGACGAGAGAGCATTCAGTGTCAGGATCTTCGCCGACTTCCTCGGAAAAGCAGGATCGGGAGAGAGCAGTCAAACCCTGCAAGAGCTGGAAGAGGCCCTGCAGTGTGTGTCCCGCCTTCAAGGAGAAAATCAAGGACAGGCCGTGCCCGTCCTCTTTTACCTGTTTCCTCTGGTCGACCTGCTGCGCTCTGCATACAACTATAATGTCATGCCTCTCCATCTCCAACCAGCAGCCCAAGATGACCCGTCGTTGGTGCTGCTGCACCCCGATGAGGACACCATAGCCAGAACAGAGCGGCACTTCCAGGAGCTTTATGACCTTGCGGCTGATGTCGACATCCTCGATTACGAGTTGCAAGAAGCAATCAAGGCTCACGGCAACGCCGTAGTTTCCGAGCACATCACATGCGTGGATTCGCTGAGGAGAAATCTGATGGCTGCGATGCAGGAACTGCGTGCACGGGTGAGTGATATGACAGTAACCGTACGCTTCTCCCAGGGACGGCAAGACTCGAGTGCGCTAACGTACGTGCTGGATGACATTCAGCAGCAGTGGGCCCCCCATGTGCATCGAGATGTCGTTGTGAGACTGTCCGCTCGCATCAAGAACAGGGTGTCTTTCCTGAACGATCTTAAGCACGCTGGCATCAACTTTGCCTCTGGGGACTACGAAAATGAGAGCGCAATCATCGACGCCATCCTTTCTGAACATGGTGAAGGTCGTGTGTACATCCTTGTGAGCTATGTTGAAGAAGCGGCGCATGATGAGATCTGGCGAAAGAACCTGGAGCTGCTGAAGAAGCTTGTGATTGATCATACTGGGGGAAGTCCCCACCTTCAGAACAAAGCAGAAGGAAAAGGACGAGGCAGGGATGAAGAGCAGCACAAAGCTCCTCCTACATCCTCCCACCCCATCGCTCCTTCCTTCTTCTTCCTGGAACTAACTGCAAGTGTCGATTCAAGCAATGATCCTCCTGAAGATAATCTTCCCAGCTCGGTAATCAGATTGTATCACAACCGTCGACTCGTGCAGGATGATGTCGCTGAGCATATGGATAAAGTGGCTGCCTTGTGCCTTGTGAGATATAGCGAAGTGGAGCGTATCGGCGCTGCGGGAACGAGCAGGGAGGGTGGTCCTCATAAGACTGCACCGCTTCGGATTCAATGTCCTGGCACGGTATACAGCCGATGCGGAACGGAGGTCAAAGATTGGCATTGCGAGAAGTGTGTGACACAGGTGGAGTACGGTTGGGACAGCTACGTGTACTGCGATTGCGGGCGGGCACAGTTGGAGTCCATTGCATACCTCTGTCGTCATGCCCAGCATAGGGACGGGCAGTTCATGAGGTACGGTCCAACGGATGACCTCACCACAGAGCTGAACAAGCTCCAGATGAAGCAGGAGATAAATATCCTGCTCCTCGGAGAGACGGGCGTTGGGAAGTCCACCTTCATTAATGCCTTTGCGAACTATTTGACATTTGAGGAGATGCACCACGTCAAGGATGACCTGATGGCGCTTATACCCTCGCAGTTCACTGTGTGCCAGCTGGGCGACTACACAGGCGTCAAGGTGTGCATCGGCACGAAGGACGACGACAACGAGGAGGTGGGTGCAGGTAAGTCCTCCACGCAGTCGTGTAAATCCTACCTGTTCGACTACGGCAAGTACAAAGTTCGCCTGATTGACACTCCGGGAATCGGCGATACTCGCGGGATTGAGCAGGACAAGAAGAACTTCGACAATATCCTGCGGTTCCTAGGTCACCACACGCTCATCCACGGCATCTGTATCCTTCTCAAGCCGAACAGCGCTCGTCTGAACGTTCTTTTCCGCTTCTGCATCATGGAGCTGCTCTGCCATCTCCACAAGAGCGCAAAGGACAACATCGTGTTCGTGTTCACGAACGCGCGATCGACTTTCTATCGACCAGGAGACACCATGCCCCCGCTCATGGAGATGCTGAAGAAGGTCCGTGATGCGCCTCCTCACGTGCGGATCGAGGTCAGCGAGAGCACCATCTACTGCCTCGACAACGAGTCCTTCCGTTTCCTGGCCGCTGCTAAACAGGGTGTGAAGTTCAGCGACGAGCAGACTGCAGACTTTGCAAGGAGCTGGGAAATCTCTGTCAATGAGTGCCGGCGGCTCATGAACTATGTCATTGGCCGCAATCCACACAAAGTGCAAGATACCGTCTCCGTCAACGAGGCCCGCCGTCTCATTCTTCGCCTGGCCAGGCCTCTGGGCGACATAAGCCGCCTCATCCAGCTGAACAAACAAATGATGGAAGAGAAGATGAATGAAGACCTGTCCTCAACCAACCACATCTCAGAGTTGCGCCAGCAGCTCTTCGTACCAGCCGTCGATTTGGAGTACCGAAAGCTTGACCATCCACACACTGTGTGTGCAGCAAATGCGCACCGTGACATTGTCATGGTTGCTGGGGTCGCCAAGTACGACTACAAGACAAGATGCCACACACCTTGCTACTTGACCAACGTGGATGTCGAGACGACCAACAACCCGGCCCTTAGGCGCTGCGCTGCAATGGGATCTGGCGGCAATTGCAATAGCTGCGGGTGTAGCTGGACCGTGCACATGCACGTACTGACGGAGACGAAGCTGATCAAGATCGAGCAAAGAGATGCCAGCATTCAAGAGAGGATCAAGACGGTGGAAGATGCGAAAGAAGAGCATCAAAGAAACATCCAGCAGATGAAGGAGAGGTCCAAGAAGTTGGATGAAGAACAGAAGGCCATATCCAAGACACTTGCGCGATTTGCCGTCTTCCTCAAGTGCAATGCCATAACTCCCTACAACGACTCCACGCTTGGCTACCTGAACCATCTGATAGACGAGGAGATGAATCTGAGGGCAGCAGGAGCGAAAAATGCAGAAATTCTCAATGGGTTGATCAAGATGAAAGCCAGCTATGAGGAGGAAGTAAAGATCTTGACTACTGCCATGCTTGATAGGAGTGCCGTCGTCGATTCGTCCGTGTTCATATCGGCAGAGGAGATCCAGAACAATATACAGCAGCTGTTTGCGCTGGAGATCAACGGTCCGAAGATCAAACAGGCTATGGAAGAATTGCAGAAGGCACACGCTGAGTACTTCGCCTACAAGGAGACGGTAGTCCGGACATCGTCGCGAGGGCCCTGGTTCCTAGGGAATTCTGCATCTCGGCGTCGAAACCACCAAAGGACGCCTAACAAAGCACCCGCCGCTCGGCAAAGTCAAAGTCAAAGGCAAAGGCATAGCTTAGAATACCAGGGCCAGCGTCAACAGGGTGCCTACATGCAAGGTGGAGTGCGCAGCAGAGCTGCTGACAGTTCTTTCTGCTACCAGCAAGCGGGCCACCACATCCCCAGGGGCAGGAATACACAAGATCCCGACTCCCACGGATGGGGAGGTAATGGATATGGTGGTGGACCAGAAAGCGATGACTATGCCAGGAAGCACTGGCATTATGTACATGACGACTACCATGTCACACAAAGGCGCGGTCACGAACATTACATGCAGAACGAGTTTTCCGCACAAGTGGCTGGGAATAGACACTTTATGACCGATGCTTCAGGGGGACCCAATGATTTCAGGCATGGGGGGGTTACGCTTGCTGGCTTTTCTGCAAAAAGGAGAGGAGGAGAGAAGATGCCAATGCAAAGCTTTAGCTTGCAAACACCGGCAAGTCCAATGTCGCCGGGAGGCGGGCCTGGAAGACGCAGGGACACGGATCCAGATGATCGGGGTCAATCGCAGCCTCCCAGTTTCCTTGGATCTTTTTGGCCTTTTGGCGCGTTCAGACAGTAAACAATTATACACCCTAAAGCAAAGCAAACAAGGGTAACAAAAGAAAAGACAGCCCCTTAAGGGCCTTAGGCCCTTAACCTGTTAGAGTTAAGTTAACCCCCCCAACCCTCCCCCCTTTTGGATTCTGTTTGATGTTTTTTCTTCCACCTACAAAATTACCTGCAGCTTTTGAGTTCTCATCTTCAGTTGCAGCTCTTGCATAAGGCGGTTATCAACAAGGACTTAAGTTAGTGCCACTTGAAAAGAAAGGGATGTTGCTTGTTCAAGAGGGTAAGTAATAAGCCAGTGGGAGGTTTTGTGTGAAGCAGGATGTGTGTGTGTGTGACTCGGGACATGGCAGGTATAAATCAAGGGGGTGTGTGGCTCACACTGCCTCACAGATGTCTATCTGGCCTTCATGTCAGACAATCTTGGTACAGAAGACTGAAAGCGGAGTATCTTCTTCTTCTTCTTCTTCTTCTTCTTCTTCTTCTTCTTTCTTGCTTCGTTCGTCTTCCCTCCTCCTCCTCCTCCTCCTCCTTCTTCTTCGGCTTCTTCTTCTTCCACTTCTTCATTCTCCGTCCCTCTTCTTCTTCTTCTTCTTCTTCTTCTTCTTCTTTGTTGTTGTTGTTCTTCTTCTTTCTTTTCTCTCCTTCTTCTTCTTCTTCTTCTTCTTCTTTCTTTTCTCTCCTTCTTCTTCTTCTTCTTCTTCTTCTTCTTCTTCTTCCCGATCCTCCTTGTCTTCCTCTTCTTCCTCCTCTTCCTCTTCTTCTTCTTCTTCTTCTTGTTGCTGCTGCTGCTGCCGCTGTTGTGGTTGTTGTTGCTGTTGAAAACATTCCTTGATGTCAGATAAATGACAACAGGCATTGATCCGCACTGGGGTGTGCAGCAGCAACTGTTTGAATACATACGGATATTGGTAGCGTAGTAATCTCGAATTCCGATAGGACCGCGATAATAAATCTTTGCAAATTTGTAAATTCCCAGCGTTTTTCGTTTGCCTTTTGCAGTCCTTTTTGTAGGTAACAAGGCTTTCAAGATTTTAATGCCATTCCCGGCCTTTCCTAAAGGCTTTCAATGTGACACTGTGTCTTCAATAGACTAGTATGAAATGGCATTAAAATCTACTCCTCCCGGTCTGCATGGGCAGGCAACTGTGCAGGTGGGCCGACCGGGGTACCCCGGGCATGTAAAATCTCCGTTTTTGTTTTTTTTTTCCCTGTATTCTTTTCCCGTCGGCGGGACTTTTCTGCCCCCACCGAAAGCAGCCTGAATCTGGGGTCCTTTTTCGTTTTTCAGTGTAACAGTTGTGTTTATTAGTGGGGGGAAAGCAGGGAATAAGTGGGCATTAAAGGGGCTTAAAGGGGTTTAAAGTTTAAACTTTAAACTTTAAAGAGGGGTGCCTTGGTTTGATTTTTTTTTATTTTTTTTTATTTTTTTCGATTCAGTTAGGAGTGCAATAACCCATGCCATATGTCTCGTGGAAACTGAGGGCCAACCCGGCCATCCTCAGCCCAGGCCGAAAAGGGGCACACGACCACACATACGGACTCAGGGCCTGGACGTGAGGCAGTTGACTTTGGTCAACTGTCGGAAATTCCAACAGTCAAAGTCCAAAGGTACCTAGCCCAGGCCGCTGGTCAAGCACACACACTTGTTTGTATGCAGGTACCCAGACAGCATCAGGTCCAAGGGAGAAGTCTGCCACTGTACAATCCGGGCCTTCAGATGTGAGTCAATCTGGACGACTGTGGGAAAGGCACCCGAGGCCATACGTCTTCCTGATGTCTGCGCATCTGTGTGTGTTGATCTTCGAGTCGCAATTGCTACTGTTGCAAATCCTGCTGCAGGGTTTCCTCTGCTGGGTCTATCTTGCGGACACAAGATTATTGGAGTTGGGTTTCCAGCAGGTTTTGCCGCTGCTGCTGATCATCTTGCTGTCGGGGCCCACCTACCAGTTGCTGGCCACTTTGCAGATGTGGGAGGGCCAAGTTTTCCTGTTGGGGGGTTGGCTGCCAGCCATGTTGGCCCTGCCTTTCCCCCTGCCGGGCCAATTGCTCCTGTTGTTGATGGCCTTGTCACCTTTGTTGCTGAGATTTCGTATCCTGCCCCGAGAGATTGTCTAGCGGATGGGTATCCAACGGTGCTTCATACTCGGTGTCCCACGTTCTCCGAAGCAGTCTCTCTTTGGCCAATGGCAGTGGGAGGCTGATCCCAGGTAAGTTTTTTTTTTTTGTTTTTTTTTTTTTTTGGGGGGGGGGGGGGTTGGGTTAAAGGTGGCCTCTTTAATCTTGTTGAACGAGGAATTGGCTTTCACCCACACCCTTTGGGTCGCCAGTGTTTTTGGAAGGGCGGCAGCCTCAACATCGCGAACGAGCACTGGCTGTTGCATGAGTTATCAATGACATGCTCAGTCTGTCTTCCGGGTCTCTCTCTCTTTCTCTCTCTCTCTCTCTCTCTCTCTCTCTCTCTCTCTCTCTCTCTCTCTCTCTCTCTCTCTCTCAC